GGGCTTCAAGCGATTCTCCTGCCTCATCCTCCTGAGTAGCTGGGATTATAGGCGCCCGCTGCCATGCCCAGCTAATTTTTGGATTTTCAGTAGAGATGAGGTTTCGCCCTGTTGGCCAGGCTGGTCAGGTGATCCACTTCTAACCTCAGTTGCTCCATCTACCTAGGCCTCCCAAAATGCTGGGATTACAGGCATAAGCCACCGGGTAATCATTTATTTCACTCAACAAAGCGCTTGCTATGTACCAGGACCTGTTTTTGCAGAAAACAGGCAATCCATCACATTCCAGTGGGGTAGACATGGACAGGCCATAAAATCAATAACAAAAATATATGTTATAATAGATGGTTATGAGTGCTTTAGAGTAAAATTAAGTAGGAGAGGCAGGCAGGAAGTGTGTAGGCATGTTTCAATTTTATACAGGGTGGTCAAGGTTTGTTATCTACTTCGCCTTGTCAACAGTTCCTGCAGGACAAGAACAAATCTCACTTCCATTTGCCTTCACGCTTCCAGCACTTAGCACAGCACCAGGCACTCAGAGGCAGTAACTTTATACTGAATACATTTTATGCCTTCCGAGAAGCAAGCAGTTGAGAAACAAAGGTGTATAACTAGATATTGGCTCTAAGGTCCAAAATCTGAATAACCCAATCATTTGCGATTAATTTTATTCATTCCATTAACTTAAGCTAAAATCTTTTAGCACGTTTAGATTACAGACCAAAGTTGTGTTAACTAGTATTACAGGACTTTTCACGTTTTTTCAAACATCTTCTAGCCACCTCTGTGGCCCTACAACTACGCATAAGCTTTTACTTTTCAAAAAGCTTCCACAGCTTTTGCCAATTATTTCTTGATCTCGAGTAGCTACTGTAACAGCCTTGGAGTTTAACACTCAGGTTGCGGATCGGGACCAGTTATCAGTTCCTCGAACCTCAATGAATCACAAGGCAAGGTTCTACGCCCCGAAAAAACTACGAAAAGTGAGAAATCCTCTAAACACTCCTCGCGCGGTGCCCAGCAGGAATCTTGACCTCAAGATGGCGTCCCGTAGTCGTAACATTCAGTCGGCTCCAATCAAATATGGCAGGGTGGGTCATAATTTACAGTTCGGGCCTTTCTAGTAGTGGTTAGACGCTGCTTCTCTATGGTTATTCCGTCTCGATTTGGTCAGAGCCACCAGCGGAGACGATCTATATACGTTCTTCTCTATGGTTCCGCGCTCCACGCCTCCGGCCGCAGTGCATGCCGGGCAAGAGGAAGACCTCCAGCAGCTCCCCGCGCAGCGCGGCTGTGTTTGCGGCCTGTGCGAGTAGGCGCTTCTGCATTCAGCCTCCCGGGCGAGCGGCGCGCAGAAACCTCGAACCAGTGGAGCGCACTCGTAACCTGGATCCCCGAAGGCCGCGAAGGCAGTACCGTTTCCTCAGCGGCGGGTGAGTTTGTGTCTCTGAACGCGTGTGGAAACCGGAAGACCGGGTGATTCGGCTGGTGGAGGAGAAAAAGCCGGGGTGGCTGCGAAAGCGCCAGGGTGGGGTAGAGGTAAGGGGGGGGGGCGGGTGGGGGAGGGGACGGCACGAGGCTTGGTTTCTCCGCTTCTCTTTAGGCCTTGAAAACCAGTGGGCCCAGCCGGAGCCCGTGGAGGGTAGACCTACGGCTTGAGCTTTCCGTCTTGCATTGTCGCCCACTTTCCCTTTCCCTTCCACGTTCCGCCGCGGAGTGACTCGTCTCTGCACCTTGTGGGCTCCACGTTAGCCACAGAACGATCGATCTGCCCCTGGGGAGCCTTTCCCTGAGCCCCTTTGCCTACCGGAGCCCCACAGTGGATTTTCGGGCCTGGGACACACTCGTCCCAGGCTCTGCTTTGAAGTTAGCCTCCACCCACCCTTTTTAGCGAGGTGCTGGTCACCAACGGATATCTTTCCCTTCCTCTTTGGCCACCTAGAGCCCGCCACCAAGTAAACTGGCCCCACCCCCTTGGAATTGAGCTAATACCTACCTTTTTAGCACTGTCCTGGCTTGCCTAAGGTAGTCATGAATTTTGCCGTCCTTCTTCGCTCGTTGGAGCATGCGGTAAACTGTATATCGCCATTCATTCTAGGCGATTACTAAGCTCCACATTAAAATGTTACCTTCTCTTTCTTCTTTGGTCTTCCATCATGCTTTTAAAATACGTTTTTCCGGAATAGACCTAGGACTATGAAGGTTATTTTTAAGTTATGTAATACGGATTTGTATTGCCATGGAAATGCCATTTTGATACTGGGCAGAGTGGAGCCAAGGGAAGGGAAGAGATTGGACTTGTCTTGCACCATACTGCTATATTAGTGGGAAGTACTATGTATTAGGCCGTTGGCAGCAGTGTATAAACAAATTTCGCATTGTCTTTGGACTTTAATATTTTTTTATTGCCTTCTCTGCACTAGCATGGACTTTAATTTTTATTTTTAAGGTTATTTCCAAAAACATTCAGAGGACTTGAAAGACATTCAGTTGGTCATAAGTTACTCATGATTTCACTAAATCTTATACTATTCTAATTCATTTAACTTAAAGCCTTGGTTTTTCTTTTTTTTTTTTTTCCTTTTATTTCAAGCTTTGGTTTTTCTTTCTCTGTAAAACGAATTTGTAGGAGTATCCACCTTATAGGCTATTGAGGTTGGGGATTGAGAAAAACGTATGTAAAATCCTTGGTGCAATATCCAGGTAACACCTAGTAAGCGTTTAAATCTGTATTAATTGACATAGTTTGTTATTTAAGAATTTTTAATGAAATGTAAGAGCCCAATCCTGACTCTTAATAGTTTTAAGAAATGTATTCTGAATAGACTTTGAACAAGATCAAAACTAATCCTGCAGAAGTCTCTTTCTCATTGGTGTGTTATTGCTAGAAAGAGACATTGTGGTAGAGCAAAAACAGCCTTTGCGTTGGATAGTGGGGACCTTGGAGTGTCCACCCACATATTGTGTGCCCTTGAACAAATTAGCTTCTTCATGTGTAAAAATAATACACAACTGGTAAAGAGCACCTGGTAATTTGGGAGATTAAATGGGAAAATGCATGATAAAGACTTTTGTAAACAAAGTAAATTTAACTGTTGGTGTAAGTAGTTCATCCTTTGGGGGTAACCAGTTTTCCAGTAATTTTGTTGTTTTCTTTTTGTTTCTTTTTTTTGTTTTTTGTTTGCTAAAGTGGGTTCTTTAGGAAATAAAAGGACCCCTTCCTTTCCCTTCTCCTTGTAGGGTACCAAAAGGCTTTTAAGAAGAAACGTTTTTATTGTCCCACTGTCTTATAGGCATCATGTGTTAATGCCTATTTCCACAGGCATTAACTGGTTTGTTTTTGTTTTGTTTTGTTTTGTTTTGTTGTGGTGGGGAGGGTGCTGAGTCTTGTTCTGACACCCAGGCATGAGTGCAATGGTAAGATCTCTGCTCACTGCAACCTCCACCGCCCGGGTTCAAGCGATTCTCCTGCCTCAGCCTCCCAAGTAGCTGGGTCTATAGGTGCCTGCCACCACACCCAGCTAATTTTTGTATTTTTAGTAGAGTCGGGGTTTCACCATGTTGTCCAGGCTGGTCTTGATTCCTGACCTCATATGATCCGCCTGCCTCAGCCTCCTTAAGTGCTGGGATTACCCTTGTGAGCCACCGCTCACAAATGGCAACTATGAACTATATTGACATTTCAAATTTACCTGTAATGCACAATTCAGTGATTTTTAGTAAATATACAAAGTTGTGCATCCATTACCCCAAGTTTTTTTTTTTTTTTTTTTTTTTTTTTTTTAATTTTTTGCATCAGAATTTAGCTCTTACTGCCCAGGCTGGAGTGCAATAGCGAGATCTTGGCTCATTGCAACCTCTGCCTCACAGGTTCAAGCAATTCTCCTGCCTCACCTTCCCGAGTAGCTGGGATTACAGGCAGGTGCCACCATGCCCGGCTAACCAAATTTTGTATATTATCATATATTTTTTCTTTATAGATAGTAGTAGTGCTGCTTTTTTGTTTCATTTTGAGATGGGGTCTGTTTCACCCAGGTTCAAGTGCAGTGCTGTGATCTCGGATCATTGCTACTTCTGCATCCCAGGCTTAGGTAATCTTCCTATTCCAGCATCCCAAGTAGCTTGCACCACAGGCTTATGCTACCATGCCCGGGTAGTTTTTTGTATTTTTGGTAAAGACGGGGTTTCACCATGTTTTCCAGGCTTGTCTGGAACTCAAGCACAAGGGATCCACCTGCCTCAGCTTCTCAGTGTGCTGGGATTACAGGTATGAACCACGGTGCCCAGCCTTTTTTTTTTTTTAAAGATAGCTTCTTCCTGTGTTGCCGGGGCTGGAATGCAGTGGCTATTCACAGGGTAATCCCACTACTACTGATCAGTTTGGGAGTTTTGCCCTTCTCTGTTGGCAACCTCATGGTTCCCCCTCATCCCAGGAGGTTACCATATTGATGCTCAATGAACTTAGCATGAACACTCGATTAGCATAGTGCTGCAGCCCAGAACTCCTGGGCTCATTCATTCTCCTGGGTAGCTGTATTTATGGGCAGGCACAGTAATGTTGCCGTTTAATCACTGAAAGTGGTAAAACAACAAAATGACAATGTCAGAAAAAGATTAGCTCCTTTTTGGAGATTTTAAAACAGTTGAGTATTTTCATATTTCTGAAAAGCTTTGCTGTAAAAGTAGTTTTTCTGTTAAGCATTTCCCATTCTTCTTTAGGCATAAAACACTTTTTTCTAGGAATAATTCCTGTAGACCTGGCACATAATTGGAAGTAGATGTTGAATGAATGAGTGAATTGTATGTAAATATTTGCGGAGGGGAATCTGTCAGTTCATTCTTTTTGTTGTTGTTGTTTTTGTTTTTGTTTTTTTTTTGAGACGGAGTTTCACTCATGTTACCCAGGCTGGAGTGTAATGGCGCGATCTTGGCTCACCACAACCTCCGCCTCCTGGGTTCAGGCAGTTCTCCTGCCTCAGCCTCCTGAGTAGCTGGGATTACAAGCACATGCCACCATGCCCAGCTAATTTTTTGTATTTTTAGTAGAAACGGGGTTTCACCATGTTGACCAGGATGGTCTCGATCTCTTGACCTCGTGATCCACCCGCCTCGGCCTCCCAAAGTGCTGGGATTACAGGCTTGAGCCACCGTGCCCGGCCTTGTCAGTTCATTCTTACCATTTCAGAAATTTGGCACATACTGTACTGATGGAGCTAGTCTAAAATAATCTATCTTGGGAGAAATACTTTGTTTCTGTTTGGATAAGTCTACAATAGAGGAATGCTTTTAAGCAGTATTTTGCTATATTTTGCATACTTGTAGTATTCTCAAGAGTGCAGAAAAAAGAATGGTTTGAAAGAGTAAAGAGAAAAAAAGAAGGCCGGGCGCGGTGGCTCAAGCCTGTAATCCCAGCACTTTGGGAGGCCGAGGCGGGTGGATCACGAGGTCAAGAGATCGAGACCATCCTGGTCAACAAGGTGAAACCCCGTCTCTGCTAAAAATACAAAAATTAGCTGGGCATGGTGGTGCGCGCCTGTAGTCCCAGCTACTTGGGAGGCTGAGGCAGGAGAATTGCCTGAACCCAGGAGGCGGAGGTT